GGGACTCAAACCTTGACCTCTAGTTCATAGGTCAATGCTCAACCATGAACCACACCAGCCAGGCAATGTTCACATATTTTAAAATTTGTTTTTATTTATTTATTTTAGTTGCTTTCTAGCTGGAGAGATTTACAGACAGGGAAAATATTTCCTGGCCTCTTGATGTTCATGAAACCCAAAGGGCAAAGTTACCTAATCTTTCTAGCTTGTGAGAGTCTTGTTCTTTTTGCGGAAGGAAAAGGCAGCCAAACTGGAGGGGGGGAAAAGTAAGTGCTTGGTACCTTCCAGAAAGGTACAAAGGTAGGTGTGGTCTAAAAGAAAGGGCAGAAAACTGAGAGTCAAGATATCTGCTTTCTGCTCAGCTCAGCCACTGGCTGACCATGTGACCTTGAATGGGAGTTTTCACTTCTCAGTGACAACAGCAAAAATAGCACCTGCACTTTCTTAAACCTGCAGGGTCGTTGTGATTGAGGAAGTCAAACGGAAAGATCTGTAGAACTGAGATAAAAATATAGAGGTGTGATAATAATAATGCCTTCCTTTTTGTCGAAGAATTGCTGCAGTGTTTAATTCATCCATTCACTCTATTAAAAAGAGGCCACCTGACCAGCTAACATTTCCCGAGTGCTTCCTCTGTTCCTGCTGCTGGACTAAGCACTCCACATGCCATCATGTTATATAATTCTCAGACTAACTCACTGAGGGCAGCGACTGTTATTAATTAGCGCCCTTTTACAGACAAGGAAACTGAGGCGCAGGTTAAGTAATAATATGCTTATGGTTATATAGCTAGTAAGTGGCAGGAGACAGATTTGAGCCCGTAGCTCAAGCTTAACTACTATACTTAGCCTAATATTCCACTTCAGTAAAAATACCTTCATTTCCTTCCAGAATGTCAAACAGAAAATTACAGTGCATCTTTTGCCCACAGAGAGGCAGGGTTTGGGGTGTGGGTAGTCAGGCCTGCATTCCCAAAGCCAGGTTCTCCTAGCAGCTACCCTGCATTTGTGGGCCCACCTCCTCTTGCTCAGGCTCTCAGTCATCTCAGCCATGGGTGATGGTGGGGCCTGAAGCACATTGCCTGCAAGCCCAATGTTATTACTTGTCTGGTGACTCCAGGCCACTGTGTTTGAGTTTGTTGTGAAGACACTGAACTTAAATATGCCGCGAATACCCCACAGTGAGAGGTGGCAAGCTGCGTCTGGCAAATGATGCTCCCAGAACACTGTTCATTTTTAAACATTTTATTAATTTCTCTTCCAAAATGACAAAACAACCATGTAAGTCGAATATAAAGAATGCCTCTCATTTGGAAGGTTGCATAACAGGCAGGGCATGTGGGCCAGAAAAAATAACTTCATTTCCATGTATACCTCTGTTAACATTTCCAGTACGTTTTTTCTTTCTGATTGATGTGGGGTTGGCAGTGACTTTCAGCACTTGAGTTAAAAACATCTGATTTCCTTCTTCCTTAGGCAGTGAGTGATCTACAAACACACAGAGAAATCCATTAGAGAAGCTGTATTTACAAGGAGAAAATAGAGGTTGCATTAAGGAAATAAAGACTCCTAACTTACTGGCTCTATAGGCTGTTCACTTATGATTCTCTCCAAGGAAAGTGCAAGGTTATTATTGTGTTGAAGCGGGAAACCTTAAGGATTATTCTGGTCAACGAGTATTTTGATGTCTGCAAAGCCCGGAAGAAACCCAGGTTATAGGAGAAAGGAGAGGGGAAAGGTCATGGCAAGTAGGAGTCAGGGCAGACAGATTCAAACTCGGAGTGCATACGCTGAGCTGGAGGGCTTATGGGAAATTTCAACATTTATAAAATTGGATAAAAATGTAATAAATTCCTACGTCAGCATCACACAGCATTGACAATTATTACCGAATGGCCGATTTTGTTCCATCTAGTATCCACTCTTCCCCATGTAGTATCATTTGGAAGCAAATACCTGTACCCTTTTATTTATATTTTAGAAGGTATTTCTAGAAGATAACTCTTTTAAAACATAATCTCAATATTATTATCACATCTAAAAACTAGCCCTTTTTCCTTGATATTATCAAATATCTGAGTCAGTGTTAAATTTTCCAATTTTCTTACAAATGTGATAATTTTATTTTTATGATGCTTTGTTTGTAATAGGATCCAGATAAGGTCTTATCCTCTATAGCTTCCCCCTCCATCTCTTTTTTTTTTCTTGGAGTATTTGTCAAAGGCACTGAGTCATTTGTCTAGCAGAGTTTCCCATAGATTATATTTTACTGATTACATCACTGTGGTGTATTTTAATGTGTTCTTCTGTCTTCTGTGTTTCCTGTCAGTTGGTATCAAAGGCTTGATGAAATTCAAGTTTTTGTTTAGGCTCCAGCATTCTTCATAAAGTGATGGTGTGTTTTTCCATCAGAAAGTGCATAATGACAGATTCTTTCATAACAGTTTCAGCGCCTATATCCATTTGGGTATTAGGGGCTGGGGAAAGAGGAATATTTTAATTGTGCCACTGTTTCTGGAAATAAAAAGAGAAAGAACTTTATAGAGAAAAACATCTCTGTCTTCTGCAATTTGGTTTCCAAGTGGTATAGTTTGTATAGGAAAGACTGGTTAAGTGTTTGCTTCTTTTCTTTCAGTTGGTGATTTTCAACATAAAAATTGGTTCACAGGCATCCTCCAATAGGAATAAAGTAATAAAATCCAAGTTTTCATTAAGTGTCTTTATGATCGCATGGATTAAGACATATTTGTTGTTGTTGCAAGTCCACTGAGTTATGCTGGCTGGTGCTCACTTTGCCCTGTCTTTGGCTAATGGAAGCTGCCTCAGGTAGGCTGCTGGGTCCCTTTGACACAACCCCGTTAGTTATAGGTAGGTAGCTGCTTCTAGGCCTTTTTTGTAGGACAAACCTGGGTTCCAACTACTGCTCCACCACTTGCCAGCACTTGACCTTGTGCAATTGCTTAAGTTCTGAGTTTCTGTTTGCTCACCTGTAAAATGGGAATGATCATAGTTTGTAGGGTTGATGCAAGGTTAAAATAGTCAAGTATTTGGCAGAGTGTCTGACATGGAGTAAGGGCTAAAAAATGTTTAGTTTTATTAGTGTTATTATCATTATTATTATTTGAATTAATGAATAGTGTCATCAGGGCTTTGTAGCTTGCTCCATAAAATCATTAATCCCATAAAATCTTAACTCCTCCTGCAAAGTGCAAGAGGAGTTAATATTAATGCAAGAAAGAAGGCCATCTTTTTTGTGGATTGGCACGTGGTTTTGCTGTGGAACTGAATGCCACACTTAGAATTCAGGAGAGAGAAGAGAGAAGAGGAAGGAGCATAGGTGTGGGAAGGGCCTGAAACCACAAGATGAGGCCAGATGCCTGTAGAAGGCAGAGGGGAAACCCACTTCTGAGCTCTCTGTGTCCTAATTAAATGTGGCCTTGGCTCTTGCCAGAGTGCATGACAGGGGTGAGGGTGGTGTGTGGGGGTGAAGGTTGTTGGGAACTCTAAGTGTGAGTCATAGTTAGCTGCTCAGTCCCATCTGCCCGCCCAACCATATGCCTAATGGCAACAGTAGTTTAGGGGCAGCAAGCCCCTGGGGACACTCCAGCTGTTTCAGCCCCTGGACCCAGTTCTCAGGTTCCTGGTCCCCTTTTCCCCATTTCCTAGAACTCTTGCCCTTAGGCACATCTCACTCCTCCCTGTGATGGGGTGGGAAGGGATGGGTGGGACGGCTTCTGTGACAGCAAAGTGGGCCTTCTCTTTGCTTCCTTATTCAAATGTGCTAAAGGGTTAGCTTATTATTAATCTTCTTGTAAAAACAGTTTTTAGATTTTTTGTTCACATACTCTACTATTCGTCTGTTTTAGTTTGCTTTGTTCTTTGCTTCATTTATGTCTGCTTTTCGTTTTCATTTCTTTGGGTTGAGGAAAATTCACTTCATTCAGTTCCACTTTCCTACTTTCTACTAAATGCATTTAAGACGTTTATTTATGCTCTCATTCAGTTCTAAATATTCTATAACTTCTATTTGGATTCCTCTTTAGCTATAGGTAACGTTGAAGTGTGTTTTTATGCATTTTCATAGGTGTGGGGCGCCTTTGGCTGTTATTTGCATTATTGAGTTCTGATTTTATTGCGGTGTGATCCGTGAATGTGACTGCGAGGAGATCATGTTTGGGAAAACTTGGTGGTCTAAGTCATGGTCAGTTTTTATCTACATTTCACTTTTGCTTGAAAAAGAAATGTGGATTCTCTTTGCTGAGTTGGGTAACTATGCTGACTGCCTGCAAATCCTCATGGAAGCCACTGCACTCTGCCAGCATCCCAGACACAAAAATGTTCATTCAGGGCTGATTTATTTGGTGGGACTCACAAAACACACCCAGGCCAATGGATGGCTTTTTGCTTTTGCAAATAAGGTTAATATTGCTGGAGCCTGAATTCTTTAGTCCCAGTTGAATTAGCTTGTAAGACCCAGCCTCTGGTTTCAAGTGGATACTCGTGGCTATTGCAATCATGGGCTTTTGTGCCGTGCCATAATTTAAGCGTGGAACTGATACATTTTCTCTAAAAGAACAAACGATGGGGGCTGGCCGTGGCCTGTGTCCTAGCATCAGGCGTTATTTGAAGTCCTTTGCCCTTGGTCACTGTGGTTGTGTGGGTGTCACATAACTTCTCGGAGCCTGGCTTCTGCACCAGCTCTGTGGATATGATACCGTGCTGATCACAGAGGAATGTGGTGCTGCTCGGCCGAGGTCGTAGACATGGAAGTGCTTGTAAACCATGAAGAGAGCCTCAAATATCAGCTGCAGGTTAAGGGCACCTTGTGAAGAAAGAGAAAGTGTGGTCTTAGTGCATGTTACCTCCCTTTGTTCTCTGGAGGGAGTCTGAACTGGTGAGATTGAGAGAAGTGTTTGGAGGTCCCTGAAATTCTTCATTCCCTCACTTCCCCTCAGTGCGGAATACGGAAACTACAGCCATGACCACCCACGTCACCCTGGAAGATGCCCTGTCCAACGTGGACCTGCTGGAAGAGCTGCCCCTCCCTGACCAGCAGCCATGCATCGAGCCTCCGCCTTCCTCCATCATGTACCAGGTCAATTCTCCGAGGGCTCTGGGGGCTCAGGAACCCGGGGGGGTCCCCTAAGAGGGTTTGCCCTGAAGGCAGAGGGAAGGGGGAGCTCTGCATCTAGTAGGTGAAAGGTCGTGAGTTGATGGAGTCCCTGGTGCCCTGGTAGAGCTGAGTGTAAGGAATAGATTAGCTAGTAAATGTACACCAGGGCTGCTCCTCCTCCCCGGGGAAGGCTTGTTGATCTGCTCTGACCCCAAATACCTTCCCGGCTGTTCTTGCTGCAGCACCAACCAAGGCGTTGGCAGCTCTGACCTCATGAATTAAATATTGCAATTTAGAAACCCCTAGAGCCTACATGAAGGTAATTACTTTTCCTTCATGTATGTGAGGAGAGCTCTTCAACTACTCACAGCAGCTAATGGCTCAGGGAAGCCCGTTACAGCTGTTTGCTTTCGCCCAAGACGGGTGAACTTGTGCTAAACCATGATCAGATGACTCAAGACCGTAATCCATCAGGGTATGGGAGAAGGGCATCGTGCAGCTGGATTCTGCCTTGCAAATAGCCCCTGGTCTGGGTGTGCAGGGCGAGTATGCCAGGCTAAGAAAAAAATAAGTTAATTTGAAATTCTTTGCTGTATTTGACCTTTTGAAAGTTCTTGGGCTGCTAAATGAGACTAAATATAATGCATAATATATTTTTAATTTCATTCAGTGATTAGATTTATGAAGCACAGGCTTGAAGTTTCAACTCATAAACTTTGTTTATTCACATTTTCTAACCCAGATTGAAATTTTAATTATATGAATCTTTTAAAAATATTTATACTGATTTCAGGGAGGAAGGGAGAGGGAGAGAAAGATAGAAATATCAAGGATGAGAGAGATCATTGATCGGCTGCCTCCTGCACACCCCTACTGGGGATCAAGTCCACAACTTGGGCATGTGCCCTGACTGGGAATCGAGCCGTGTCCTCCTGGTTCCTAGATCACATTCAACCACTAACCACGCTGGCTGGACAATATCTTTTTTATTATAAGCAATACAAAAAAAGTATAACAAATTTTTTATAAATATGTCTATGTCTATATATATATATACACACATTTTTACCATCTACATGCATATATTTTTAATATAACAAGGGAATCATACTATATTTATATATTGATGTATCATTTGACTTTTTTAGCTTAAAATTTATTATGGATATTTTTCCCTAACAATACTACATTGCTGCCACATTATTTTTAACTACCATCTACTACATGTAAGTCCATTGTATGGATATACTATGATCTAATTAGCCTTTCACGGTTAATGGACATTTGAATGATTTCCAGTTTTCTCTATCACAAAAAATACTGCAGTTATTACCTTTACATATGTGTCTGCACCTCAGGTGAGTGTTTTTGCAGCTGCTGGATGAAAGCAGTGCACATCTTAACTTTTCAGCAGCTGTTAGGTGTGTAGAGTGTCAGTAAGCATTTATTCCCAGGGCCAGGTGGGGTGACCCTGATGGGAAGCGGATGTGGGCCCTGTCTGTAGGCAGCTCTGGCCCAGTGTGGCCGAGTGGGATTTGGGGGAGGGAAGATGAGAGGGTGATGTGGACATAGCTTTCCACAGAGAACTGGTGGCATTTGTTGGCAGCAGTGCGTTCCCTGGGCACCCAGCCACCTTGGACCTGTTTTTCAATAACCAAATGTTCCTGTCCTCCAATTCCCACAGGCCAACTTTGACACGAACTTCGAGGACAGGAATGCATTTGTCACAGGCATTGCAAGGTACATCGAACAGGCTACGGTCCACTCCAGCATGGTGAGTCTCTGGGACCCTGCCAGGGCGGGAGGGGCTGTGGGCAGCTATTCCAGGACCTCCAGCCTCAGGCAGACCCACCTCCTTAAGCCCATTCTCACACCTGCCCCAGCCTCTCTCAGTGCCCAGGCCATCCTGTGCCCCGTGTCTTCCAGCTTTGCAAATCCTGCTCACCTTTAGGGCCCAGCATTATCCTTACTCTTCACTTCCCTGAGCGCCTATAGCAGCGGTTCTCAAGCTGTGGGTCGCGACCCCTTTGGGGGTCAAACAACCCTTTCACAGGGGTCACCTAAGACCATCGGAAAACATATAAAATTACATATTGTTTTTGTGATTAATCACTATGCTTTAATTATGTTCAATTTGTAACAATGAAAATACATCCTGCATATCAGATATTTACATTACGATTCATAACAGTAGCAACATTACAGTTATGAAGTAGCAACGAAAATAATGTTATGGTTGGGGGGTCACCACAACATGAGGAGCTGTATTTAAAGGGCCAGAAGGTTGAGAACCACTGCTTTAGAAATACTTTGAGCAAAACAAAAGGTTTCTCATAAAGGGACGGTGGCTTTGGAATCACATGTTGTTGACCCGAGGAAGCTGGTGGCCTAAATCGTTCACACGTGGGGCCAGCTGTCTGACCCATCTGCGAGGGATCGCTCCTTCCCTCTGGGGCTTTCGTGGATTTTATTCTCCAGCAGCACTGAAATTTGAGGAATTCAGATTCCTCGTTCTGCAGCTCTCTGCAACATTCTCTCTATATCAGCTGTACTCTAAAACCTGGTCTTATCATACCCCACCCATTTATTTAATAAGTAGTGTGCACCTGGGGCCTGCAGAGACTGTGCTAAATGCTGGGGCAGGGGATACAAGGACAAACGGGGATTCTCAATGGGTCAAGTGGAAATACAGACACGCTTACCATTTATCAAACACTTTCTGTGTAGATAATTTAAATGCATTGTCTCAGTCCTCAACTCATTGTCCTGTGAGGTAGGTTCTATTACAATACCCATTTCATGGATGTGAAAACTGACGTCCAGAAAAGTTAAGTTTCATGGGGTCCTACCACGGATAAGGTCTGTCTGCTCTAGACTACTCTTTGCAGACCAATAAAAATGCACAAAATTAAAGGTAAATGACATGGTAAAAGTACAAAGTTCCTTGTTTTTGAAGGGGCCTTGAGGGTGTTGGGGAGAGCTTGATGAAGGAAGTGGCTTTTGAGTAGGGCCTTGTATTATACGTATGTATGTATAAAATATGTAAATACACAAATTACATTATAACCGTATATATATATATACATATATAAACTTTAAAATGTATAAGGTATGTTCATACATGATATTATGGAACTTTATAACAGCCCTGTAACTTGCAAAGAGGTCATTATACCCATTTTAGGGATAAGAAAACAGAGGCCTAGAGAAGTTAATAGCAAGTTGCTCATGATCCCACTAGTAAATCATGGGGTTGCACCTGGAATCCGGACTTTCTTTTCTTTTTAAAAAATATATTTTTATTGATTTCAAAGAGGGAGGGAGAGGGGGAGAGAGAGAGATAGAAACATCAATGATGAGAGAGAATCATTGATCGGCTGCTTCCTCCACACTCCACACTGGGGATCAAGCCCACAGCCTGGGCATGTGCCCTGATGGGTAATCGAACCTTGATCTTCTGGTTCATAGGTCAACCATTGAGCCACACTGGTCAGGCCAGAGGCAAAAATTTTCAAGGCTGCCTAGGTTTGGACTGTAAGGTACATATAAAGAAATTGTCCGGTATTTATGGAAAACTAGGTAAGGATCTGTGATATGCTACCAACTGGAAGCCTCTCACGTCCAGAGGCTAAAAGTCCAATATCAAAGTGTCAGCAGGGTTGATTTCTCCTAAGGCCTCTCTCCTTGGCTTGCATACTGCCACCTTCTCACTGTGTCCTCACATTGCCTTTCTTCTGTGAGTACACGCACATATGGTGTCTCTGTGTGTCCAAATTTCCTCTCATTAAAAGAACACCAGTAAGATTGGATTAGGGCCCACCCTGAAGGCCTCATTTTAACTTAATCACCTCTGTAAAGGCCCTGTCCCATTCTGGGGTATTGGGGGTTAGGGCGTCAACATATGAATTTTGGAGGGACACAATTCACCCATCATAGGGGGCTGTAATTCATTTAGTAAAAATGAAAAGCAATAGAAAATTGTTTATCCCTGGGAGAAATGTGAACAGACCTCTGCTTGGGGAATAAGTTCCATTTGTTAGTTATGTGTAGAATGAGTTGTGAGGCGAATACACTGGTTGAGATACGGTTATCTGCATCGGAGGCATTACAGGCTGAGTGAGGGTGATGGCATGAGGGCTGGCTAAGGAAGTGGATATGAGAGACACTGGAGGTTAACTCCACCTGGCTTAACAGTTGTCTGTATAAATACCAGGTCAGGGGCACCAAACGGCGAGTCAGAAGGAGGGGCTGGTTTAGAGGGGGATTGTGTTTTCTATTTCTGCTGTAGCAGATTGTCACAGACTTAGTGACCTGAACCAACACAAGTTTATTTGCTTACAGTTCTTTCTGTCAGAAGTCCAGCCAGGATCTTACAGGGTTAAAGTCAAGGTCTGTGGAGGCTTTTCCCAGCTTCTACAGGCGGCCCACCTTCCCTGGCTCACCCTCTGCCAGCCAGCAGTTCAATCACTCCAATCTCTGCTTCCGCCCTCCATCCCATCTCTGACTCGCCTGCCTCCCTCTTTCACTCATTGGGACCCTTGTCCTTACCTTGGGTCCACCAGATAATCCAGGACAGCCTCCCTCCCCATTTCAAGGTTTCTAACTTAGTTACATCTGCAAAGGCCCTTTTGCTGTGGAGAGGATTGTATTCACAGTTCTGGGCATCAGGATTCAGCCATCTTTGTGGGGCTGTTATTCTGCCGACACAGGGATAGTGTTGATACGGTCTTCTTAGATGGGTCAAGAATAGGATGTACCATTGACATTCCTGAGTAATGCCCAAACGTCACTTCACTCAACAATTTCTACCTTGTAACTTGCTAAATCTCTCACTAGCGTACCTTATCAGCAGCAAAGTGTCTTCATTAGATGTTTAGCTTCTTGTATTTCTCCTGCCTGCACTTGGTAAATCTCTCAAATGGTGGGAGAGCCAGAAGAAAGAGGAGTGAGAGAAAGTATATAAACCATGTAATTGACCAGCTGCATGGAACGGTCAGGGCTCTTTGCTGGAGGTCAGACAGGGGCTGAGTAAGTGCTGAGAGGTACAGTCTGTCACTACCAGCCCTGAAACTTGAGCTGAACTCACATTGCATTTAAGTCATGGACTTTCAGAATCTTATAAAAGTAAAGGACCTTAGAGATCCTTAGTCCAGCAGCTGCCACACTGGCTGCCCATTGGGTTCACCTGGGGGGCATTTGAAAATGCTGATGCCTGGGCTCCCTTCCCAGGGATAATGATTTATTTCTGGGAGGTCGTGTCTGGGCATCAGGAGTCTTCCACGTTCCCCAGGTGACTAATGTGCAGCCAGGGGTGAGACAGTGATTGAGACCAACTCTTTTTCTCCAGTGAGAAAACCATGACATTCTTCAAGGTAAAAGGTGGGCCCAACAGAGCCAGGACCAGAAAGCAAGCTTTCCATGGCCCCACCAGGGGCGCCTTCCACCACGCCATTCTGACCTCTATATCGCAGGCTTAGTTATACAACAAACCTGGTTGATGGTCACCTGCCCTGGCCATAGGTCAGAGTCCATCTCATCCTGTTCACTGCCCTAGTCCCAGCACGGAGCGCAGAGCCTGGGACCCCTCAGGGCTCAAACATTCTTTGGGTGAGTGAGTTGGGATACTCACACCTACCAAGGGCCAAGTTTGTTGCTAGTATGCTCCTTATGTTGCTGTCACGTCCCTTTTCTGATGTGTGTTCTGAAGCAATGGCAGCAGGAGACCCACACGTTTCACCTTGGTTCTCTGTCATCTCAAGGGCAACGTGTTCCTGATTTTCAAAGTGCTGATTGAAAGTGTGAGTTGTCGGTGGCATTGGCTGTTGAAAACAAAACCATAAAAAGTAATGAGCTCTAAATTAAATCTGACCTTGTACTAGAAAGGTATTATGAAATAGACATGACATGTGGAGTAAAAAAAATAACTCAGTAAGGGTTCATTTTTATATCAATACAAACATTTACACAAGAGCTGGTCTAGTAATACTCTTTTTTACTGTGTTTTTGAGATATTGTTCATAGAACATAAAATTCACCCTTTAAAGTGAACAGATCAGTGTTTTTTTAATATATTCACCATGTTAGACAACCATCACCACTATCTAATTTCTGTCACCACAAAAAAACAACAAAAAAACCCAAACCCATTAGTAATTTTTCTGCTTGTGAAATAGTCACATAAGCTCTTCTTAAAAAGTGCAAACATTATGGTCCTGTGTGATAGGAAAAGTGAGTGCCCCGCAGAGAGCCTGCTAGTCCTATTCCACCAAAATATCTCCAGTATACCATAATATACTTTCCTAATTGCTACTCTTTGTTTAGTTTTTCTTTATAGCCTATGTGCTATGCATACTGTTTGGGTAGTTGCTTAGTTTCTTGCTAAGTATATCTGGGACAACTTTTGCTGTTGGAACAAATAGATCTGTTGCCTTCTTTATGAGGTGGCTATCCATCTTTGAGAACTGCAGCCTGCTTACAGAGCCTTGGTGTCTGAGGAGAATACCTGAGGCCAGTGCTTCTCAAACTTATGTTGCACCTGGGAGGGTGCGTCCCCTGGGAATGTTCCTGAATGCAGATTCTGATTCTGTCAGCCAGGCAGCGGCCTGAGGCTCTGCATTCCTAATGAGCCTCCCAGGCGATGGGGATGCTGCTGGTGCACAGATCTCACTGAGCAGTGAGGTTTTGGGGGCTGATGAGAAGCCTGTTGCACCAGGGCGGTTTCTCCCTGATGAGCGTGTTTTGCTTTTCAGAATGAAATGCTGGAGGAAGGACACGAGTATGCGGTCATGCTGTACACCTGGCGCAGCTGTTCCCGGGCCATCCCCCAGGTGAGGCTGTCCTTCCCTGGGGGCTCTCCTGCCGCCAGGGGGCACCACCGCCCTCCCCCTTACCCCATTCAGAGAGCTGAGCTTCTCCAGGTGGCAGGGAGCAAAGCTAATCCAAGGGGACACGCTGAAAACCTTCAGAGAGTTTCCCATAAAACTGATGCCAACTTTGAAAAAATTGTTCGATATACTTTATTTGGAAAACAGTATATGCTAACTGTACAACACCAAACCATTGCAGAAAGGTATAAAGTAAAAAGCAAGACAGTCCCAACTCCTCACCCCCACCACCCAAACCCACCTCCCATCCGAGCATGATCACTATGGACACGTGTTGCTGCCTGTTCCCCTGGATCTTTCTCGCTGATTATCCTGAATATTTCTATGATTATTATTTTGTAAATAATTATTTACAAAGCATATGTTGTTTTTTACTTATATAGTTCTGCCACTTGATTTTTTTACACTGTATTCTTTTTTAAAAACATATATTGTTATTGATTTCAGAGAGGAAGGGAGAGGGAGAGAGAGATAGAAACATCAAAGGTGAGAGAGAATCACTGATCAGCTGCCTTCAACACACCCCCCACTGGGGCCCACAACCAGGGCATATGCTTTGACCCGGAATCGAACCGTAACCTTCTGTCATAGGTCAACGCTCAACCACTGAGCCACGCCAGCTGGGCTACACTTTATTCTTTATCGATGATGTTTTTTTTTCACGTTGACACATACGGATAATATGTGTATGTGTCAACCATCATTATAATTGTCACATATTTCATGAGTCCCATTTTAATAAAATTCATGAGGCACAGATGTGTAAAAAGAAACAGTTCCTCACCCTTCCTTTAATCTTAGTCCCCTGGGGTAACTATGCCTGTAACATATATGAACAAACACACACACACACTGTTTTGTTTAACAAAAATGGGACTAAGTGACACTTCCTGTCCCATCACAGTTTTTACCTGTCAATTTATGGTGGCAGTCTGTCCATGTCAGGTGACATAGATCTGCCTCATTCCTTGTTACATAATGATATTGAATTGAGTGTATCATATTTTATCCTTTCAATCACCTGGACATTGAGCTTGTTGCTCCTATTTTAAGAATTTCTAAACAGTGTGAAGAATGTTTCAGCCGCCTTGTTAGCACTCCCGGGTGTGTGTGCTGTGAAAACACCCACCATGTGGTTGTGATGTGTTGAAAACGGTTGGGCAGAGCACATGGGTTTCTTGGTGGGCCTGAGTGTGGCCAGGGGGGCTCTGCCACGGGTGCATCCGGAGCAGTGGATGGGACATTTTTCTCTGCCGGGAATCTGGCGGGGCCCCTCTGGGGTTAGAGCAGGGGTGGGCAAACTTTTTGACTCAAAGGCCACAATGGGTTCTTAAACTGGACTGCAGGGCCGGAACAAAAGCATGGATGGAGTGTTTGTGTGAACTAATATAAATTCAAAGTAAACATCATTACATAAAAGGGTACGGTCTTTTTTTTTTTAGTTTTATTAATTTCAAACGGGCCGTAGTTTGCCCACGGCTGGGTTAGAGTGAGGAAGGGCTGAAGGAGGGAGATCTTACAGATAAATGTGGACGTGTGTACAGCGACTGGTCACAGTACAGACAGACTGAAGGTGGACTGTTCTGTTCTTGGGACCAGCTGGTTTCTTTCCTGCAGCCAATGTCTGGGAAGCAGTGTTGCCCCCAATCAGGGCTACCCTAGCCTCGTCTCACCAGAGTGACCTTGTCATTTATCATCCTGGATGAGGTGCCTTCAGGAGTGAAAAGGGGTCCATTAATAAGTCAACAGGGCTGCCTGGGTGGATCAGGATGTCTGAGACCCCTCTGCCCATAGGTGAAATGCAACGAGCAGCCCAACCGTGTGGAGATATACGAGAAGACGGTGGAGGTGCTGGAGCCGGAGGTCACCAAGCTCATGAAGTTCATGTACTTCCAGGTGAGGGATTGGTGAATCTGGATCAGGCGACTAGAGAAGGCCCCTGCCCTTCTGCACACACGGGTCTGGGTTTTTGTGCCATGTTGCTTATTCATTTGGTCAATACTTTTTGAGTGCCCCTGACACAACCCCGAGTGAGCAAGATGGACACTCCTTCCCTCCCTGAAATTTCCATTCTAGTGAGCACAGGAGTATGTTCTGGGCAGGAGGAGAGACCGACAATAAACAACAAACAACGATTCTCAGGGCATAATATGTGCTGTGAGTAAATAACATTTCAAAAATCCCTGGGCGGCAGCTGTCTGTGACTTGGCTGCAGCTTTAGGGACAGCCTCTCAGGAGGTGGCATGTGAACTGAGGTCTGTGTGATGAGAAGGGCTGGTGTGGGATGGTCTGAGGAAGAGGGTTTCAGGCAGAAGGAACTGTGAAGGCCAAGCCCCTGAGGCTCAAAGGGGCCTCATGTGTTTAAGAAACAGAAGGAAGCCAGGGAGGCTGCAGGGTGGGAGAGAGAGGGATAAAAGGTGAGGCTGGAGCAGTAGCCAGGGACCTGCTCACACAGGGAACTGAAGGCCATGAAGTAGGATGTGAAAACAGTGTGCGGATTTTATTAAATCACCACAGAAACCACTGAGGCTTCTAGTGACAGGATCTGCCATGATTTCTTCAAACACCTTCCCTATTCCTTTCTCCCTTTCTGCCTCTTCTGGCACACCTACTATTCTGATATTGTTGTGTTTCACATTGATCCACAGCTCCCTTAAGCTGACCTCCTGTTTTTTATTTCTTTTTCTTTTTTGCTCTCTAATTGAGTGATATTTTCAACTCTGTCTTCTAATTCACTGATTTGATCCTCAGCTTCCCCTAATCTGCTATGTATTCCTTCCAATGTGTTTTTTATTTGTGTTATGTCATTCTTTATCTCAGACTGTTCTTTTTTCATAGCTACTATATCTTTTTTCATACTGTTGAGCATTTTTAACATCATTACTCTGAACTCTGTTTCAGATAAATTTCTTATCTCTGCTTCACTTAACTCTTCTTCTGGAGAATTTGCTAGTTATTTCATTCGGGGGTTGTTTCTTTGTTTTATCATTTTGGTTGTCTGTTTGGGTTTGTGACTATGTTTTAGGTAGATCCTCTATGCCTCTCAGTCTCTAGTGTAGGACAGTGTTAAAGGCTGTTTCTGGCTAATTGGATCAGGCAAAGACTCAAAGCCTCCAGAGGCCACCTCTGTCTACAGACAAATAGGATGTGACTTGAATTGCTTCCAGGCAGTCATCCTCCAGTGTGGCAAGAGTTTTTTCAACAGGGTGGGGCAGTTGCTTCTGCCTGGAGGCTAATTTTTACTTTTAATATCTTAAGTGGCCTCAGGGCAAGGTGTTTTCCAATAGGGTGTGTAGACTGTCTTTCCCCCCATGCAAGGCAGATGTCTATGTTGGAAAGATGTCCTCCGCTGCGTGAGGTAATGACTCAGACCAGGAAACTTGGGGTGTCTACCTTCTGAGCTCTATACCCCGAGTCCCCAGTCCTGGGTTCTGCTCTCACAGCTCCAGTCCACTTCACACTCCCTCTGCCAGAGCACAAGGTGTTGCCTGGCCAACCCTTTCGCGCCTCCGCCCCTCCTACCAGTCTCTATGACTTCTCCACCATCAGTCCTTGGGTATCAGGGCTCTCTCCTGTGAGTTTACCCTCCTCAGTTTGGTGCTCTCTGCCTGGGGAGCCCAGCTTTGGGATTAGATCCAAGGGTTCTCAGTGGCACAAACCCCACCCCCAACACCCCCCCGCCCCCCCATACACACACACCTGAGATATCTCTCTGGGACTTCAGCTGCTGTCTGTGGTTGCCTGGCCAACCCTTTCGCGCCTCCGCCCCTCCTACCAGTCTCTATGACTTCTCCACCATCAGTCCTTGGGTATCAGGGCTCTCTCCTGTGAGTTTTCCCTAGTGACACGATCTGATTGGGGTGTTTACAGCATCTGGCTGCTTGGTGGGAAATGGAAGGGAGGTGAGGGCAGCACAGATGTGAGGGGCGAGAGGTGACAAGAGTGGCAGCAGGAAGACCAGTTGGGAAACCAGGAAGAGTGATCTTTAAAGGAGGAAAAGAGGAAAAAGACAGCCAAGGGCTTTCATGAGGGCAAGCTAGTTAAATTTAAAAAAAAAAAAAAAGAGGGCAGCTCGTTAAACAGAAATAACCAAGGAAAAATAAGGCAACAGGTTGATTATTGTGCTCAGGTTGGAAGCTGCTCAAGAATGCAGGTTGAGCACTTTAAGACCAGTCTGTACCCCAGGGCGGGGGTCATGCCACACACTCTGCCCTGCACGTGCTCCACAGAGAGTTCAGGCTGGTAAACAGACTTCCAGGCTCTGGCAGATATCCACCCCATGCTCAGCCCCACACTCAGCTCTGCATGGCCTGCTGTATGCGAGATGGGGTGTCTGGGAAGGTGCAGATACCTGCAGCCCAGGGCAGGAACGCTGGCTCCGGAGGCGGAGACCAAGGCTCCTCCACAGTGTGACTGTGCCTGTGAGTGACATAGCATATCTGATGCCTTCAGTTTTCTCACCTTGGAAATAGTACCTGTTTCACAGGCTTGTAGCGAGGATAGAGGAGGTCTATTGTAAAGAGCCACGTAGAGCCCTAGTTACACAGGAGGGTTAACACATTGAAGCTGCTGTTAATCAACCATGGACTCTTTAGGAAGGCAGGTCCAAGAGAGAAAAACTATACAGAAACCGAGAAAGGATGGCCTGGGATCACCTGGAGCTACGCTGTTCCGTACGGTAGCCCCGTGTGGGTATTTACATTAATTAAAATAAAATAAAATGTAAAATCCAGGTCCTCCGTTGCCCGAACCACCGAGTGCTCAGTAGCCACATGTGGTGAGTGGTTCTCGTATTGGGGGTTGTACACACAGGACGTTTCCACCATCATAGAAAGTGCTCTTGGACTTAGGCTCCGGAAGGGGAAGGCTGGCCAGTCTGGTCTTCACAGGCGAGGAATTACGGGTGGGTATCCCGGCCTGAGGAGGGGAGAGCACACACAAGGAGTCATTTCTCTCCCTCCTCTCCTCGTCTTGTTCCCCTTCCTCCCTCTTGCTCTCTCTCTGGGTTACTCTTTAGCCTTATTTGTGGATTGTTATTCAGCTGCTTTCTTTGGTAACAGATTTATTGAGAAATAATTCACATACCATATAATTCATCCATTTAAAGTGGACAGTTCAATGATTTTTTAGTACATTCACAGGGTTGTGTGTTCATTACCAGGGTCAATTTGTAACATCTTCGTCACCCCAAAAAGAAATCCCATTCCCTGTTGCTGACACCCCATTATACCCCCATCCATCCCAGCTCTGGGCAAGCATCCTCCCACCCCCTCCCCCCACTTTATTTTTCTCCATAACACATATCACACTGGAATGTACAGAAGTAGTTTATTTTGTTTTCTGTCTTCCTTCACTAAAATGTAAGCCTCATAGGGTAGAGATTTTTTTTTTCTTCATTCTTTCTTTACCCCGGTGCCTAGAATGGTGCCTAGTGCATAGTAGATACTCAATAAACACTATGTATTGGTTGAATGAACCTCTTTCTCTGAATCCCTGCCCCCTTGTCAAGTGGTGCCTGGCACTGTCCTAGGCGCTGGAATACAAAAGTGAATAACACGGTGCTTCTCTGTAAAAGCCTGACGAATAAATGCGTGGGGTCAACTCACTGGGTGGTGTGTTCCTTTGAGAATCAGCTTTGAATGTAGGGACTCCTCTGAGGAAGACCTCTTGGCGGATTTGCTTCTAAATGTCCAGACTCTGACCAGGGCCCCAGGGGAGCCTTGACCCTGCCCCCCACCTGAGAGCGCGGGGAGCCGCCCCCACCCATGCTGCCCGTCCTTACCTGCTGCCCCCTCCCTGCCCGCAGCGCAAGGCCATCGAGCGGTTCTGCAGCGAGGTGAAGCGGCTGTGCCACGCCGAGCGGAGGAAGGACTTTGTCTCCGAGGCCTACCTCCTGACGCTGGGCAAGTTCATCAACATGTTCGCGGTCCTGGACGAGCTGAAGAACATGAAGTGCAGCGTCAAGAACGACCACTCTGCCTACAAGAGGTCAGCCTCCCCTGCCCCCCACTTCCTGGGTAGCCTGCCAAGGGGAGGAGGAGGATGGAGCCTGTCTAACAGGCCCCTTCTCCAGAACCAAACGAGCCAGTCCCCTGGCACACGGCGGCTGGGCCGGACCTGTTTGTGTGGTTTGAGGAGAAAGGTGCAGGGCTGGGTCCTGGGGGACTGGGTCTGTGCAGGGCTCTCTGTCTCAACATGGAATCAGATGCTCATTTCCCTGTCTGTGGAGCAGCAGCGTCCTCTCTTGCCCTTTGTAGTGCAGCGCCAGTGAGATCATCATAAAGTGGCCACATTGTCATTCCTGTAAGAATCAGAAAGCCAGTCCAAACTGCTTCTGTGGAAGAGGGATGGGCTGGCTCCGGAACTGAAGGCCCCTGCTCACTCTCAGGCGGGCTGTGCCCTGGGGTGCCCTCCGGCAGCTTAAACCCTCCTCCGGCCAGCATCCCAGCTTCAAGGGAAGAAAACAATGCTCCTCTTTGCAAATAATTTTGCAAAAGTCCCAGCTTGGTCATGCGCCAGGTTCCTCATCAGCCATTGTGTGGGTGGGAGCTCTGGTTGGACAGGTGCTCACCATGGGGTCACTTGGGGGTCAGTGTCAGCTCAAGAGAAGGACAGAGAGTGGGAAGGGCTCCTTCCTCTCTAGAAATTAAGTACAGCCATGCGAAAGTGGGCGGGGGCGGGAGGGTGAGTCAAAAGCAGCAGATTTCCTCTGTGTTGTCTAGACACATCTCTTGGGAAGGCTCTTCTGTGTCTGATGAAAGGCCTCTCCTCCTAGTAACTGGAGAAAGCAGAAGAAAGCAGACAACAGACTGATTCTCAGCACGCTATCCTCCTGAGTGAGCTGTGAAAGAGCCCCTCACAAGCCTGACTCAAAAGTGGCCAGAAAAATCTGGGCCTCCACAGTTTTTCCCTTCACGTCCTGCGTGTGTTCCCTGCACCTAACATCCCTTCACTCTCAATCCCAGCAGGTTAAATAGACTGGGTTCTATGTAATGCTTTGCTTTAGAAGCATAGAGATTTTCCAATAAAGAACACAATACAGAACAAAAACAAAGCTTCCTGCCCCTGGTTCTGGTCCGTGGCGGGCTGTGCAGGTCCGTTAGAGGCCACTGCGGGGCCAGGGGTGCTCATTGCACTCTGTCTTACCCCTCCAGCTGGTTGATAGGATGCTAGCTGCCCTTCAGCTTGGAGTTTGAGCTTCAGTGCATTCTTGCCTCTCAGTCTCAGGTACCCTTATCAGAGGGTGTAAACAACTCCGAATGACTCCAGAAGATACTCCCCGTTGACTTTAGTCACCTGTGATGCCAGAGCCAGTTAACCTCGGGGGCAGTGTCACTCGGGTCGGGTGGGAGGCAGAGCCCGAGAGGCCTGGTTAGGCTGGTTACTTGAGCGTTCCTCTCTGCGACCCCGTGTTTCAGGGCAGCGCAGTTCCTGAGGAAGATGGCGGACCCCCAGTCTATCCAGGAGTCGCAGAACCTCTCCATGTTCCTGGCCAACCACAACAGGATCACCCAGGTGACGGCAAACTCCACGTTAGTTCAGGCCTGGTGTCCCGGGACACAGGCAGGGGCCTGGAGGGTGGGTGGACCGTGAGCAGAGGAGCTGGGCCCAGGTCTAACACCCTCACTGCCCTACTCCAGAGTTAGACTTTGGATTAAGTCTCCCTTCCCAGACAGTCCTTTCACCCTCTCCCAGTGTGGTTCCCTGAAGACCTTCTCAGCCACTATCCTGCCCCCACATTAGTGCAGATTGAGAGCGTGGGTTCTGGAGTTAAACAGCCTTGTTTTCTAACCCTAGACCCATCATGAGACCTTGGGCAAGGTCTAAGCCTCGGTTTTCTCATCTGTAAAACGGACCTGGGATTTTGAGAATGTTATGAGAATCCATGTGATAGGACTGTTGTGAGAAATACATGAGATACTGTATAAAAAGCCCTCCATATGTAGAACCTGACAAATGGCAAGGGCATAAGAAAATGGAGCTGTTATTACTGCCACCGCTTGGCCAGGGCACCCCCGCTGGGCGGTGGCTCTCTCGCTCTGTCTGACGTAACCTGTCTTGCTCATCTGTCAGTCCAGCCTAAACAGGCACCAGCAAGAATGTCAGCAGGACTCAGGCTGAGTGGGGCCCTCCCTCTTCGAAGGGTTTGGAGACTCGGCTCTCTCTCAGGGATGCTGCTGGCTTCGCTAGGCCCTCCCTACTCCTTGTTGAATGCAAAAGGCTATTAACTTTGAGGCTGTAGGTTTCTTTCCTGGGACACATTCCCATGTTGTCAGATCCTTCTTTTGGGAGATGCGTTTCTTTCTATACTGTTGTGTCCTGCCAGGAGGGAGAATGCTGCTGGCCCAGCTCTCCTACCCCAGGCTAGGCCATCCCCCATCATCTGAGGAGATGCCATGGCTAGGTCCATAGCCTCAAAACTAAACTGGGAAGACAAACAGGCCTTCTGCCATAACATGGAGCTGCTTTTCAGCTCAGCCCCATCATATACTTTCTAACCATCAAAACTGGCAGGGAATAACATGGAGGGCCCCTAGGGGAGTGAGTTGCCTGCCAGGGGAGATGTGCAGGAGCTCAGACCAGCCACTGTGGGGACAGTGAGAGGATGCAGGCTTCCTCCCCCTAGTGGTC